TGTTAAAAACAATTTTAAACCTCAGTTGGCTTGGGCAGACTCAGTTAGGTTCCCAAGGTTTTAGCAAAGAGCTATGTTTTTACTTATCAGCAAAATATCACCAACAGTAGCCCTGAGAGGAAAGAATTCTGGAACTGGAGTGCTGCAGCAAAGAAGGCCTTCTCCTACATCCTTCAATAACATATTGGTCTACTGGAAGGACACAAAAGAACATCCTTTGAGTCGCTTCCCTGTATTCTGTGTTCTCAACTGTGTGTGTATTAAAGATGCGATACAAGTCAAATCCTGTCTAGGCTAAATTGGACTGCATAGTTGCCCCATGTGACTGAAGAATTCACCCTGGAATATATTTTGGCTCTGCCAACACTGAAAAGCATGGCAGGGCTCCCCCCCCCCCCCCAATGAGGAGATTCCAGCTAGGTCAGGATTTCCTGGAATGGAACTGGAAAAGTACTACTTGAGATGTCCATTCTAACAAGGATTACTCAAATTTGAAATATAAAATTATTGGTTACAAGTTTTGGGGAGCCTATAAGAACCGACTCTTTTCACTGAGCTCAGGAGACAAGAAGCATTCTTTTCATGAAAGCCTTTGACAACACATTCTTTAAATTTTGTGTTGCAAATTACCAGTTACCTGAATAATATAATTTAAGGCAGAAGCAGCATCTCTGTTATCAGCTAAGTATCTTACATTTTGCAGGCAAAACGTTGTTCCTGTTTAGGATTCATTTCCTTTAAATTCTTGTCTGTACCATAGCCACTAGTCCCATAAATCCTTAGTTTTCCTGTGGTTCTGTAGAGAAAAATGTTGTTGCTGTTGTGTGCCTTCAAGTTCATTTTTGATTTACAGTCACCCCATGGTGAACTAGCATGTTTTCTTTTCTTGGCAGAGTTTGTTCAAAGGGGGTTTGCCCTTGCTTTTCCCTGAAGCTGAGGTAGAATGTCTTGCCCAAGGCTATCCAGTAGTTTTCCATGACAGAGAAGAGATTTGAACCCTACATTCAGATCAGTATACACCACACATAAATTTCCCTCTACTCCCTTAGGTAAAAAGCATATAGATTGTTAAATGGGAGTTTAAAATTGTGTGTCTGTAGTTCTGCCTTAGACTGTGTTATACAGGTTACTTGGTACTATTACCTTTTAGCATTATCATAAGAATGCTTATCTGTAAGTAAATCCTGTTTGGTTAAATGAGCTTATTCCCTAGTAAATTTGTTTAAAATTGTGTCCAACATACCGATTTGCAGCACAATTAATAGGAGGAGAGAGAATGAGTGAGAAAAACTGCAAACAGGAGGAAGTGAGAGATGTTTTGGAATGCTAATAGATACTTTGGAATTGCTGTCTTTAATCTTGCAATTCTGTACAAAATTAAATAATACCAAATCCCATTAAAGTCAGTTGATAAAAGCAAACATGAAAACACTGACACACTCCCATTGAAGACACATATGTGCAGTCTGGGGGTGATCCTGGACTCATCACTGATCGGAGAACCCAGATGTCCACAGTGACCAAGAGTGCTATCGCACAGTTAAAATTTGTGTGCCAGCTTGAGACATCAGATCTGGCCATGGTAGCCCACGCCTTGGTTACTTCCTGTCTGGACTACTGCAACACTCTCTATGTGGGGCCTCCTTTGAAGCTGCAATTAGTGCAGAGATCGGTGGCTGGATTGCTAACTGTAGCACTGTACCTTGAGAGGATGACTCCCATGCTGCGGCAGCTCAACTGGCTGCCAATCTGCTACCGGGCTACACAGTTCTGGTTCTTACCTATAAAACCCTGAACGGTTCAGGCCCAGACTATTTGCAGGACCGCATCTCTGTATACCAACCGGCCCAAGCCTTGCAATCTGCAGAGGAGGCACTGCTCTCGGTTCCACCTCTATCTAGAGCATGGCTGATGGGAACGAGAGACAGGGCCTTCTCCGTGGTCGCTCCCCGCCTCTGAAATTCCCTCCCAAAATTATTAAAACTGTTCCCTCTCTCCATGCTTTTAAAAAACTGCTTAAAACCCACCTATCCACTTTAGTGCATGGAGAGGAGAAAGACCAATATACCTGACTTAAACTTCCACCTAGATATCTTGAATCTAGTCTAGAGACTGGAACCGATTTTAGCTCACTGGTTGTTGCATAACATGTCATCTTTTAATAATGGTTTTAGCAATCGTTCTTAGTTTCTTTTATTTAGTGTTAAATTTATATTAACTGTTCTGTCTGTATAGGTTATTTAAGTTTTTATTGTTGGTTATTTTGCTTGTTATTAAGTTTTAGAGTTAGGTTGCTTTTATATTGTTCAATCTGGTTTGTTCTGATGTAATTCTGTTTGAATGTTTTTCCCTTTTTGGCCTTGAATGTTTGCCATACATATTAGAAACCATCCTGAGTCCCTTTGGGGTGATAGGGCGGTCTATAAATAAAGTTTTTATTATCATCATTATTATAATAGGCCGTCTTGGCCAACATTTTGTCCCTAAGCTTTAGGTGTGTGTTGGTGGCATGTGAAATTGTCACCATGCTCTGTTTGCTCACAGTGTCCAACAGTTGGAAGCTATACCTGATAATCAAGAATATTGATTTTCCCAGTGCACTTTAAAAGTATTTGAAACCACTGGTTGTCATGCTGTGATAACTTATAATGTTATAACTTAATATAATTCAGTTATAAGTAAATTTTGCATTGTATAGGATAAGTAAACGTAAATAAATGTATGTTCAGTAGCTATTCTGTTCATAGCATTTGTAAGTTAATATATTGTTATCATATCCTCTTGCAATAAACATTTTTCTTCTTTGTCCTTTCCTTTTAGAGCATGTCTACACTGTACAATTAATGCAATTTGTTTCTACTATAACTGCTATGGCTCAATACTATAGAATCCTGGGAGTTGCAATTCCATTGCAGTCAGTTAAAGTGGTGTCAAAACTGCATTAAATCTACAGAGTAAATGCACCCCTAGATACAAAGATCAATCCCCTTGATTTAATGATCAAGGGGATTGATCTTTGTATCTAGGGGTGCATTATCTAGGGGTGCATAATTAGCTGATGTTTGCTGTGCCAGCTCTATGAAATTTCCTGTTATATTTCTAGAACACCATGTTATATTTCTAGAACATCTTTATGATAATTGCTATTGAATATTAATTCCATTTTCTATTAATATCTAACATTAAATTTGACTGATTCATTGCAATAAAACAATTAGTAGACGTCTTACTGAATTGTCTGTTAATAAATTTAGCAAGTGGAATGGGTTGTGTGAGGTATGGAGGGCAAAACATCCAGAATATTTGTAAAATGAAGTGGGAGTCCTCCAGCTTTCCAAACATGTCAGCCAGCAGCTCTATCCAGTAAAGCCAATAGCGAGTAATACTATAAGTTGCCATCCAACAACATTTGGAGAGCTACCATAATACAAAGGAATGGATATTTTTCTTTCAGTGGGAACATGCAAGAGGGATAGAACATAGCTCAGCAAAATTTATACATCATGGTTTGTATGCAGGCTTTGTTGCTTTCAGTGAAACTTAATAAAATGTTGATAGCTAATTGTTTGAGGATATCCGTAGAGGAAATTGTTATCCCATGATCTGTACAGATTTGGGAGATGACTGGAAGTAATGATTTTTGACTTGCCAGCTAGAATTGAATTACTCCCGTTTTATTGTGGCTGTCAGACACTGGGAATTTTATCGATAGTACTAAAATAAGTAGGTCAATAGTAAACAAGCTAAGTCACTTTAAAATATTCTTTAGGATTGCCATTTTGGCAGTTGAGTGTTCAGATATTCTCACTGGCCCCCTGTTATTTCATAATGTCAAGAATGTCAATGTGCACCTGGTACTTTACCTTTCAAATGTTTTATAATAATGCCATTTGTTAATAAGGCGGTTTGAATAATAGCTCTGCAGATTTTCAGGAGCAAAATCTAACAGCCTAGCAGAATGATTAATGAAAAGCTTTATCACTCTGCACTCCGATTTAAGATGGAAAAATAACATAGGATTGGTATTTAGATGAACAAAGAGAATAAGATGTTGATGATTAATTTGATGACACGGATGGACATTACAATTTAGTGAGTGCAGAGGATGAAGAGAGACTGGTTTGTATCCTGTTTGGCACAAATGCTTCAAAAACGACATTTTCAAATGCTTACTTAAGTTATTTTTAAAAGTTGGAACTCTTTTAATGTTCCAGGATAAAAGCCAAAGGGAAGGAACATGCAGTGAATCATAGAAACTTATCTAATATCATTATGGATTAGAAAAATTCACAATACTTTAAAATAAAGCAATTGTTGCACAGTAATATTAAAAAACCCCATTTGCTTATCATCAACCTAAACCCTATATCATTAGCATGAGGAACCACTGTGCCGCTGAACTTCGGACCTAAAGGTTGTCTGAACTGCTGATGTGAAAGTTGGCAGTTTAAATCCATCTGTAAGTTCCAGCTCCTGTCAACCTAGCAGTTCAAAAAGTTGCAAATGCGAGTAGATAAATACAGCTTTGGTGGGAAAAGGCAAAGTGACGCTTCAAACAATCTTGCCAGCCACTCAACCAGGAAATAACAATGCAGACTCCTCAGCTTGAAAATGGAGAAAAAAGCACAGTCAGAGATGAGTACCATCTCCAGAAGCTTCATTGATGAAATAATGAAACTTCATTTTAGTTCTAATAAAGTTAAAAAATTTTCAGTTAATTTGACTGCTTGTCCAAATCTTTCCTTACTGGTTGTAGACCGTTTTCTTTCAATACTTCTGCGTACCTCCAGATATTAAGGATAATTTTTATTATAAGACTTTACAGTTATTGATCTACAAAAGCAGATGCACAGTAGATGGCTCTGTGATGGAGAGATCCACATTCAGAGGGTATGGCTGTCCCACAGCTCCTCTTAGGAAAACTCACTCTTAATTGTTTTGTTTCTCTATGACTCTGGTTTGTTTCAACTTTGTATGCTTATTTCCTCTTCCATAATTAGGTATCTGTTGGAGCAGGACTTTCCAGGAATGAGGATTGGTCCAGAACCAACTACAGATTCTTTCATTGCTGTCATGTATGGAGACACTGAAGGGAGTACACCAGGGAATGCTCTTGTCGTGGACCCTAAGAAGCCATTTCGTAAACTTGACCGTTTTGGGAATGCATTTTTGAACAGGTAATGGAAGGCAACATACTATCTCTTTAATATGTCCTGATGTATCTTCCAATCCCATTGCTAGGATTCTCCTTTATTTGCTAGAATGTCTCTTCATAAAATAGATGGAGTAGAGTTAAAGGCATAAAATTTGATTCAGATTTCAAAACATAAAATTTGAGTACTTAATTTTTGAAGGTTTCGCAGTTATTTTTACTGGAAAAATAATTATATTACTTCTATAGGCTTTGATAATGTGATTAGACTGTTGCATTTTCAATGGCTATTTAAGTATCAAATGTGCTGTTCTTTACAAAACCTTCCTACTGATGTCTGGAAAAAGGTTGCAAGGCTCTCAAGGAAGATGACTTAACATTTTCCAATAGGATTTGAAAATCTCTGATCCATAGAACAAAATGACCAGAGCTATATTCCTGCTCCTGGTCCCACCTCCTTCATGGGTGCAATTGGTGGGGATGAGAGACAGGGCCTTCTCAGTAGTGTCTCCTCCTGGTTGAAGTCAGATACACCCCTTCCTGCCTGACCTTCAGGAAAAAGCTAAAGACATGGAGGTTGGACCAAGCTTTTAGTCAGTAGCAGTGCAATAAGAGAACACAGAATTGTGCAATGACAATTGGAACGGCCTCAGACTATGATATCGGATTGCATGATTTTAAATAAGTGGTTTTTAATGTTTGATATGTTTTAGTGACTTTTAATTTATATGTTTATTTTACTTGATGTATGTTCATGTGGCATCGAATCCCTACCTATATATGTGAGCCACTCTGAGTTCTCTAAGATGTGAGAAGGGTGGGATATAAATATGGTAAATAAATAAAGACACCCGACGACACAGTCTGTGAACCCAGACTATTCCAAGACAGCCTATTTTCCACCTCTTCGCTTCTCCCAGAGAGCAGATTTATAGCTCCATGTTTTGCTCCTGCTGTCTATGACAACAGCAAAGAAATTGCTCGGGTTCTGTTTTTCATTTTTCATCTATTCAGCCCTACAAGTATACAACTCTAACACTTACGTCTGGAACCCAAGTTCAGTCCCTTTTTTCTTCTTATTTTGTTACTTCTCAATCTGCCTTATTACCTTCTTTCTTCCAAGAAACAAAAGTTTAATCCAAATTTGCCTAGTATTTTCACTTTTTAAATACTCCTATATAACAATTTAGTATTTTTATCATCCCTGAAAGCGGGTGTAAAATAGTAAATTCTGGTGGTGGGGTTTGCTGTTTGGTATCTTTATTGATGCATTGCCAGTCTCCTGTATCCACACACTTTTCAAGCAAGCTGAGAAAGTTTCCGTTCCTATCACTGCTAAATATCTTTCTCTCTGTTCTTTTCTTTATTGTCCTTATTGTTTACCTATGGGTAGTCTGAGTGTATTACGCAGTGCTGTCACCATACATAACTGCAGTTCTTGTTTTTCTGGAAAAACCTGTCACTACTTCTACTTCACTTGACATCCGGAAAATTTTAAACATTGTGTCATTGTTAAGCTGGAATAAAGGAGCCAGTCTTCTCCTAATACTTGAGTTCCTTAGCTGTCAGTACTAAGGCAAATGCATATATAGTAAAGCTTCCATATTTACAGATTTTGCATCCACAACTTGAAATAAAAAATTGTAACACTCGATTTTACCATTTTATATAAGGGACACTATTTTTCTATACAGTTTTGTATAGTGGAACTTGGGTATCCACAAATTTTGGTGTTTAGTCTTAGAATCAAACTCTAGTAGATTCAATGGGCCCACTGTATTTTACATAAAACACAGAATTCAAATGTGCTGTCATTCTGTCAATTATGTTTTAAATCATTTTTAAACTTAATTATTACTTGCCATTTTAAATTCTTTTAAAAAATGTACAAGCTCTCCAATGTAGATAATGCAAAACAGTAGAAATAATTTAAAATGTTACTTGTGTGTGAAAAGAAAGAGAATAAATAAGTATGCTCTGATTTCCCAATATTTTTAACAGAATGCAAAGACATGTTTACATAATATTTCGCATAGAACTTTGTCAGTCACATATATATCTTCTAAATTTCTGTCAACATTCTTTCAAAAACGGGGCCAACCCTTTCCCTTTCATCTCTCTCACTATTTTTGTCATACAATTTTCTTCAGCCTAGAGCCCTTTATTCCTAGCCAGCATGGTGAATAGTTGTACAATCTAGAAGCATTTGGAGTTCAATTCATCGGGATGGTTATGGGTCGAGAAACATTATTTATAATGTATTTTTATAAAATTAATAAAGTTTCAAGGTCAATTAGATAATTGGTTTATCTGAATAGTATTTTTGTTCTCCACTTCAATACTCCTCAATTTTATTGTAACATTTAATAAAATTAAATCTGCCCCAGTTCTCTCTTGGCAGGAAATTAAGAATTAAACCACTCTGGTTTGCCCCTTAGGTAGTTTAACATAAGTTGGAGGACACCAGAATGAGGAAGGCTGCATTAAATGAAGCCTCCGATTTAATGAAACTCAAGTAGAGATGTCACAGATAAACAGCCTCTGTACAGTATGGCCCTTCATGTATCTGTATAAATCATCCATATTTCCACTATATGGGTATACTTTATGAGGGAAGTGTAGCGTTGAAGTCCTTAGGAAAGTGGCCATTCTTTTCTGTGTTGTTCCTTTGTTATTCTGGAGAAGAAAATGACTATAATAAAATGGCACCCTTGTTCTTTCTGTTCATAGAAATATATGCCATAACATTTGTCCAGAAACATGATGGTCCTAGACAGCATTGTGTTGTTACGAGCACGAAATGAATAATTTATATAGAGATTCTCCAAAAGTTGTCCTTCATATTGAGAGTGATGGTCCCCTCTTCTGGGCAAGCCTCACCATTCCAGTCCACGGGCTCCCATCACTTGTCTTTTACCCTGGATTTTGTATTCAGGCTGCTAAATGGCCTCTATACTGGACACATCTCTGAATTCTGTCCACATTACCAGATCTCCCCCAAAAACATTGATTTTAACTCTGTCTGATTGCCCTGACTAACTCTTTTAAGGACAGGCTTCCACATTATATCCTCCAAAGCTTCTCCTTGTTACAGCATTTCAAAGACTGTGATTGGCTGATGCAGAGCAGGATTGTCCAGCTTCAAAGGATTGCCTCAGATTCAAAGCCTTTCTTCTTCTTCTAATCCTATCACACTAGTTGAAGTAGTTCACAGCACCCACCCCCCCCCCCCCCCGTGGTATGATGCTAAAAGCATGAATCTTTTTTTCACATATATCAGTTGGGATAATGCTATCATCATCTCACATATACTGAGAACAGGGGTAAGCAGTCATCTTTCATTTACTGTCAGAAATTGGATAAGTTTTTTTTCTAGTGAGCACAGAAAGGAGTGTGTTGTTATAATGGACGACTTTTCTTTTTCTTTGTAGGTTCATGTGTGCTCAGTTGCCCAATCAGGTTCTGAAGAGTATCAGCATCATCGATAGCCCAGGCATTCTTTCAGGCGAGAAACAGCGAATCAGTAGAGGTAATTTACTTGCTTGTGGATAATCATAGAATCATAGAGTTGGAAGAGACTTCATGGGCCATCCAGTCCAACTCCCTGCCAAGAAGCAGGAAAACAACGTTCAAAGCACCCCCGACAGGTGGCCAGCCAGCCTCTGTTTAAAAACCTCCAAAGAGGGTGCATCCACCACACTCCAGAGCAGAGAGTTCCACTGCTGAACAGCTCTCCTAATGTTCAGGTGGAATCTCCTTTCCTGTAGCTTGAAGCTTTTCTCCGTGTCCTAATCTCCAGGACAGCAGAAAACAAGCCTGCTCCCTCCTCCCTAATAAAACAATTTTTCCCTTTTCTTTCCCACTGAGCACTTACAGAAACTTAAAGTAAAAGAATACGAAACAACAAAGATCTGCATAGTTAAACTAGTGGTATTCCCCATAGTAACCTATGGATGTGAGAGCTAGACCATAAGTATGCCTGAGCCAAGGAAGATAGGCACTTTTGAAATGTGGTGCTGGAGGCAAATTCTGAGAGTGGCTTGGACCAAAAGAAGATCAAACCAATTCATACCCGAGGAAATAAAGTTGACTGCTCACTGGAGGGAAGGATATTAGAGGCAAAGATGAAGTAGTTTGGCCACATAAGGAGAAGACAGGAAAGTTTGGAGAAAACAATGATGCTGGGGGAAATCGAAGGAAAAGGGAAGAGGGGTCGACCAAGGGCTGGCTTGACTTTGAAGGAACTGGGAATGGCCACAGCTGACAGGGAGCTCTAGCATGTGCTGGCCCATGTGGTCACGAAGGGTCGGAAGTGACTGAAAGAATAAACAAGAACACAACAACAAAAAGAATAAAAGAAGGTTAAAATTAAGTACAGTAGGCTTTCTACTTTCATAAGGGTTAGGGGTTCAAAAACCCCATGAAAGTGGGAAAACAAGAAGAAACCCCCACATTTTATTGCCTGATAAAGCACCTCTCTGTGAATCTCTAGGTCCCCCAGCACAACTAGCCCGCTTCCATGAATAATCAAATTAGCAAAAGCCAAACATGCGAATATAATTAAAACAATAAAGCAGACAGGCACAATATCACAAAAGTCCTTTACTTAAATTTATTGAGCTCCAGATATTAAATAAAATACAGTTAGTGATATGAGGGAGGGTGAGAAGGAGACTAACAATTTATCCCAAGCATGATTACTCTGAAGTAAGCAACAAGCCCTATTGCATTCACTAGAATTTACTCCAGGATTAATCCTCCTGGCAGTTTATTCTGGTTGCTTGGTGACAACTTTCCTTGATGTTTTTGCCTGGTAGTGTTTGGTTTATTAAATCCTGCTCTCTTGTAACTATGAGTTAGCATTTGTTTTGTAAGATAAATAATAATACCCCTTTATATGGCTGGCACATATTATTTTAACAATATACTTGAAGAGTAGTTGGAGGCAGAAAAATCACAACCCAGATCTTGAAGAATTTTGCCTGTGCTAGATGGCCATTGGCAGGTTCTTTTTTCCCCCACCCACTGTCACTATCCCTTCATTTACAGTCTGCAGAATACTACCAACTCACTTCAAAGTGTTGATTGAAGGCAAGGATGGGTAGGCTCCAAGGGCTTCAGGACTTGCCATGGATACATTGCCCCACAAAACCAAAGAAGTCTTGTAAAAAATATTTGGGGAAGGGTACAAATAAAGTGTGGACTTGTAGTTCATTTAAAAGGAGAGTTGCTATTCCTGGAGCCTTCCAAGGGTGGCCAGTTTCATGGCCAGAAGACAGTGTGATTTCCCCTGTTGCTCGCAAGTATTATTTATTATTTATTATTAATACTATTTACTGGAGCCTTTAAAATTGCTAGACTCATAGAATTGGAAGAGACCACAAGGGCAATTCAGTGCATTCTCCAAAAAATATATATACACAATCAAAGCAGTTTCATCAGATTAACATCCTACCTTTTGTGGAAAAACATCATTCCTAAAACCATCTTCCTATGACCATGGAAATAGCTTCTGATGGTTAGGATAGACAGTACTAGACTAGATTGAGCTTTGCTATAAGACACATTCACTTTGATTTGGTATAAGACACATTCATTATGATATAAATCTAATTGCTACTAGCTGTTAAATTAGACACACTGAATCTCAATGGGAATTTGATAAGTCAATACTTAATGTAAGCTCCATTGAGTCATTGGTTCTGATTGATTTGGGACTGACAGTTGGATTTAGGCATATATGTTTCAATAATTGTCTGTGTTATTGACAGTCTACATTGTTCAACATTTTGTGATTAGAAAAAACCTAATTTTCTTCATTAAAGCCAATCTGAAACTGCAGACAGTTTTTCTGAGTAATACTACCTGCAAAGATACACTTAAGATACTTGCCCACACTACAGAATCTGAGCATATTACATTCCAATGCATTGCATGCATTATTAACGCATTACATGCATTATTATCAAGATTGATATTAAAAATTACAGTGGCTTCTAAAGAATGTTGAGGTTAGAATGAAATCTAAGCATTGTCATATTTGATAATCTCCCATTATTTGCTGTCTTTTTCAGGCTATGATTTTTGTGAGGTCCTACGATGGTTCGGTGAGAGAGTTGATCGCATCATCCTCTTATTTGATGCCCATAAACTTGATATTTCTGATGAGTTTTCAGAAGCAATCAAAGCATTTCGAGGTCAGGATGATAAAATCCGAGTGGTGTTGAATAAGGCTGACCAAGTGGACACTCAGCAATTAATGAGGGTGTATGGTGCACTCATGTGGTCTTTGGGGAAAGTTATTAACACTCCAGAAGTATTACGGGTCTACATTGGTTCCTTTTGGGCCCAGCCCCTGCAAAATACAGAAAACCGAAGACTGTTTGAGGCTGAGGCACAGGATCTCTTCCAGGATATCCAGAACCTTCCACAAAAGGCAACTGTAAGGAAACTGAATGATCTCATCAAGAGATCACGACTTGCAAAGGTAAAATGTGTTCCCATCTTTTCCCTGCCTGTGTAACAATAAATTATCTATATAAATAGAGTTCGCATATAAATGTGATCACTGGTTAACAGATTACCGTTCTAGACAACCAATAGAAAGAGCACAATAATATACCTACGAAGTTATTAAGTTGCTTTTAGTATTGAGAGTCAGCCAAAGAAGGAAGGAAAAACACCTTATTCCTGTGGGGGAGTCAGAAGTTAATGGTGTAAACTATAGCTTTAGCACAAATTGAATTGAAAGATTGAAATAACTTCAAAGAGCTTCCAGTCAGGAAAGTAATAGTTGTAATACTTGTATATCTTCAAGTTGTTTCTAACTTGTGGCAACTCTCAGACTGGGCTACCCTGTTACAGGGTTTTCTTCCAAGATTGCTTCAGAGGGAACTTGCCCTTAACTTCCTCTGAGAGTGTGAATCGCCCAAGGTCAACCAGGAGATTTCTGTGGGGATTCAAATCCTAAACTCCAGAGTCATAGTTCAGTGCTCAAACAACTACATTGAGCTGAATTTCACTTGTGTGATACTGTTTTTAAAAAGAAATAAAAAGCATGATGTCGTTCCTTATTTTGCTCCTGCCTTCCTCTCCCAAGCCGCTCATGAAATTCCTTTCATGTCAAAATAAAGCAAGTGAATTGCCAGCTCCTTCCCAACTCCAGGGTCTTATCAAAACTTCTAACATTGCCTCAGCCCCATGTGACCGGTCAGACCTGAATGTTTTCCACACTGCCTACAGTCTTATCTCTCAAAAGTATGTGAACTGTCTGAAGCAACATAATCATTTGAGAGATAGTTGGATGATGAGGGAAGGTTGATTGGGAACAGGGGGAGTAGTGGGGAATGCATTGCAGCCATTATATCCCACATATGTATCTTTCATAAAAGTGCATCGTCCTATATTCGATCTGTATGCATTATCCACCAAATTTTGGTGTTAAAAAAGATATGTGTAGAACAGCAGATTGCAGATTTTCTTTTGACAAATTAGTCTTTGCTTTTGATGTAATAGGTGAGTTATGGGAAAGTGTCTCTTGCTAAACTGCAAATCCCAGGATTCTCTAGGATGCTATCATTGCAGTTTAAAATAGAATCACAGATCATTGTCTCAATACACCCTCTTATAACCGAGAGATTCTGTAATTTGTTGCCAGAAGGGGTAACTATATAGTTATGCTTTATAGAGACTTTTGAAGCAAATAATGGGAAAGGCCACAACTTTTGTGAAAATCCCCTTTGTCTTGACTGACCAGCAGAAGCATGTCCTTGTGGTTTTCCTGGCCATCATGACTAGGAAGCGGCACTTCTGCCTAGCTTGTTGCAAAACCTAGAACCTTATTTCTTTCACTTTAAAGTAAATGAATTTCATATTTCTTTGGCAGATTTTATAGCATGACTGTTAACCTTCACAAAACTGAAAGAAATGTGTCAACATATGCTTTTTTATTTTTGTGAAATCTAATATATATTTTAAAATGCATGCATCTTGATAATTTGTTGCTCTTGTTGTTTACATTTAATGCAGGAATTGGAAATATATAGATGATCCTAAAGCACATTGTTGTTTTATTTTCAGGTACATGCTTATATCATTAGCCATCTAAAGAAGGAAATGCCCTCTGTATTTGGAAAAGACACTAAGAAGAAGGAATTGATCAGCAAGCTACCTGAAATTTATCGTCAGTTGCAACAAGAGCACCAAATCTCTCCAGGAGATTTCCCAGAAGTTAAGAAGATGCAGGTACAGTGGCTCAGAAGTCAGACACTGCCATTTATTTGGTACAGGATGACCCCCGCACCCCTGGGACTGATACCTATGGTTTCACCTACCTGCATCCAATAAATATGTTTACTCGAAGAAATTTCTAGGTCTTCCATGTGATTCTATGGTTTGCTTCTGCTGAAAGCTACCTTGTCGCTCTGGAGGACCTCTGGAGTTATGGAAAAGTGTCTCTTGCTAAACTGCAAATCCCAGGATTCTCTAGGATGCTATCATTGCAGTTTAAAATAGAATCACAGATCATTGTCTCAATACACCCTCTTATAACCGAGAGATTCTGTAATTTGTTGCCAGAAGGGGTAACTATATAGTTATGCTTTATAGAGCTTCCAGGGCGACTCTCAAGTGACGTCTGGCAGAAGCCATTCATTTGGGTTCGCTATTATCCATTATTTCCTTTTCTACTGTAAATTCAGTGGAAACAAAATATATCTCCTGTGGGTATGGGAGTCATAGATATCACTTTTCTTCTAAGTAGCCCAACATGGAATATATGGTTCCTCATAAAGACACACCACACATACATGCATACAGCAGTCCTGAGTGGTACATGGTCAGTGAAGGAAAGAAATTTACCAATTTACCACACTATTTCAGACTGTGCCAACCCTCTGCTTGAACCACAGGCCTCACATGTCATAGAGGTGCCTTGACAGAACTACATATAAGTCAGGCATTTTGATTTGAAACAGAGTGAACTTGAAGGGGAAATCTACATGGCTTAGCATTATGCTTTCTATTTAAAAGCCTTTATAAGTTGTGAAAATATTGGTACAAACATTTCTCTGTTTCTGTTTCTATTCTATTCTACCAACACCCTTGTAGAATTGAGAACAGATAAGACAAAAGGGAAATGAGTTGCTTGTTTAAATTGCCATTCCTACACAAAAGCAGAAGCAACACACACACCAGGAAATTAACGGTCGAGCAGTCAGAGCTGTTTATCCCCCCCCCCCCAGCTGTTTTAGTTTAGCCCTAGAGTGACTCCATAAATTCTTCCTCCACACCACATTTTGAACTGCTGCTTTGATCTTGGACTGTGTGTTGGGATAGGTTCTAAATATCACATTATTTCATTATGCTAGAGGTTTGTGGAAACATGAATTTATGACAGCTTCATTGGGCACAAATACCCCTGTCAGCCATTTCATAAGAGAGTGCTTACTGTTTGGTGCTGGTAAATAAATTCAACCACAGTAGCACAGAAACATGATTGCTGCTTTTTGACTGGTTTACTTTATTTTTTTGTCCTGCCTTTCCCTCAGTATAGAGACTCAAGGCTGTTGGTTTATTAGTGGTGAGGGTAGGAATGCTCTATACTCCCAAGTTCAAGCATCCTGACTTCTTTTTGAAAGTTCATTTTCCTTGATGCAATCAAAATGTACGTTTTGTTAAAAATATTTCTTTCTAAGGCTTGGTTCACCTAACTTTGTCAGTCTCAGCAAAACCCAAGAATTTCATCACAGTGTGTTGACAAGTGTTCTGGTTACTGTGTTTCTATCATTTCCCAGGAACTTCTAGAGAACTATGACTTCACCAAATTCCATTCCCTGAAGCCAAAGCTGATTGAAGCTGTGGATAACATGCTGGCCAATAAAGTTGCCTTCTTGATGACCCTGGTGACCCAAGAAGAGCGAAGCATGCCAAACCAGAAGGTGCAAGGTGGCGCATTTGACGGCACCACAGCAGGGCCATTTGATCGTGGCTATGGAGAGGGTGCCAAGGAAGGAGCAGATGAGGAGGAGTGGGTGGTCGCCAAAGATAAACCTGTATACGATGAAATCTTTTACACTCTCTCACCAGTCAATGGCAGAGTCTCTGGGGCCAACGCAAAGAAGGAAATGTTGACCTCCAAACTGCCAAACAGTGTCCTGGGGAAAATCTGGAAGCTTGCTGACTGTGACAATGATGGCATGTTAGATGAAGAAGAATTTGCCTTAGCAAAACATCTCATCAAAATAAAGTTGGAGGGATATGAACTGCCCAGTAGTTTGCCTGTCCATCTGGTTCCTCCTTCACATAGAAAATCTTTTCGTGTGGCACAATGATTGTGAAAACATTAACTGCTGTGTTCTGTTATCCTAAAAACCATATACAATTTTTTTTAAATACCCTTTGAAAATAAGGCTATTGACAAGAATATTTGGCTACTTAAGGTATTAATATAAAAATCACAGTTGTGTTATGAAAAAACCATGAAATCTATGAGTGATTAGAGACTGTTTTACTGATTCTATGTGCATTGGATACATGACTATTAGTGCAATCTTCTCATTATGTTTCAAGTGCATTCACTGTATCATGCATAATCTGTGACATAGGGCGCTGTTACTCTTTCTACAAGTAAATGCCTTCTGAAGCTTAACACGGCCTGGGTTTTGATGCTACATTAATGTTCCGATTAGAACAACCAGCAATGTAGCAAGGGGTTGCTTTTGAAATGTGCATATTAACAGTGCCTTTTCAGTAACCTACAATATTTTTTTGTTTCACTTTGGTTTCAAACAAGGACATCACACTTGCCATTTCTGACATAGTTACAATCAAAATATGGAAATAGGATGGGTTTGTGTAAAATAGTTTTAACTTTAAAAATTAATTTTTGTACATTAATTTCTTTATTAATGCTATATATTCCCTTTAACTTGAAATGTATCACTTTGAAAGCCACCATCATTCATTAATGATATGTGAACTATCTTCATGATAGCTGTGGTCTGAAATTCATAGATTATAAGGGTACAATTTGATGCAGCTTTGTTCTTGGAATCAAAAATTAAAAGCTTGTACCAAATGTCTGCAAATTGAGATGTAGCAATCAGCAATGACCCTCCAGACTGTATTTCCCACCAAACATTGTTGGAGTGAAACACCCAGCAGCCCCAGCTAGCACAGGCAATAACAAACATGCCCAACTGTTCCTGTCCTACAGTATCTGGATGCCTACCCAATTCCTGCTTCTTGTGTAAGTGCTTTTGTATGAACATAGAATTAGGTTTAGAAAGCCAATGAATTGGTATAATGAGTTGTACAGTATGTACATTTAAATTTCAAAATCTTACCAGAGTTTCATAGTTACTATAGAAGTTACCCCATTAACTTTTTATAACTATGACTGACCAGAATTACCCTGTTAAATCAGGCCATGGTTCTGTCTAATCCAGCCCAATGTTGCCAACATAAATGTCTTCAGGAATCTTACAGAGAGTGGAAGTTATACTATCTCTGATCACAACAGTTCGATCCTGCATCATAGCTATTGGTAAAGTATCTTCTGTCCTATTGTCTTGTAAAGCTATGTAAGTTAGTGACCATTACCAAATATTGTGGGAGTTAATTTGAACTTGTAATGCTGTGAAATCCTCATTTTGTTTTCGGTTGTTAATTTGGATTTTTTTGTTGCTTTGAAAAAGTATGTTGTACTGAAAATAATGAAACTTCTCTTTATCTGCAATGTTTATTTATAAAAACGTCTGTTTAATCCTGAAGTATGACTTTACAAAAGACACCTACAATTTAATGGGGCTATCTTGTGTCAGTAAAAGATGTGCTGACTCAAACTTTGTTGTTGTGTGCCTTTGAATTGTTTCCGGCCGATGCCAACCATATCACAGGGTTTTCTTGGCATGATTTGTTCTACTTGATAGTACTTTGTGCAACCAAAGGTGTAGTCTTTAGCCTGAAAATGCACATAGCGAGCTTCTTTGCATTTCCTTGCCATCAATGCATCCCTTCCACCATTTGGGTAGTCTCAAGTCTAGGGATGTCATGAAAAAGAGAGATAATTCCCTGCAGAGTAGAATCTTTTTCACACAAAATAGGATATTTTTCAACCTTCCACCCTAGATCTTTTAATGTGGAATTTCTAGGGATTTGCCAATGGAAAGCATATGCTCAACCAATGATCAGTCATCTATTTCAAGAATGCTGTTTTTGCATCTTCGTTATAGCAGCTTTCCCATACATTATATTTTGGAACCCTTTCTTTACCATATGGCAGCTGAGAAGCTGAGACTATCTGCTTAGTGTATCTTTTGATGTCAGAAAAATCAATTGACTAGCAACTCAAGCCCTGATTGTGTTACCTGCTTAGATGCATTTTTACTTAGGAAAACAAACCTTTTGTCATCCTTTTTCCCCCAAGGATAGTAATAGCAAATGGAAAGAATGTGGAGGTCTTGGGAGGGAGGAGTTGACGTGGTCACACCCTCAAATAATAGTTAGAAAGAATGGTAGATCACATGATAATCCAATCTTTAGTTCAGATTCTTCTGCAAGTAGTTCTGGTTTGTTTCAGTCTATGAGGACTGGAAATTTGCCCCCCAATACCAATAGGAAATGGTAAACCATAGGACTTTAAATAGACATCATGGATGATGAATTCTGGATTATGTCATTTTTTCCATGGCAAAGGAAGATGAAAGCATGCTCATCCAATTTCAGTTGATCCTCACTCAAGGAGAGCCATGTATATATGGTTGCATATTGCCATGTTGAGATCATCTTTCTTCCCTTTATCCTGCACAGCGGGGAATACTTTCCCAACAAACTGTTTTCTTTTGATATTTCTTTAGTTCTTTTTGTGAAATGACTTTCCTCTTTATTGTATTATTTATTGAAGTTTAATAACCAAAATTTATTTTGCTTTCTTTTCCTTTCCTTTTTTTATAATTAAAAATACCCTTGTTCAACAACTTCAGTGTTTGAATGTTGTAATGGCTTTAAAAACAGCACAGTGGTGTCTTTAAGGTGCACAAAGGAGTGTACTAGCTCTTTTTTCTACTATGGTTTTGTTATTTCAACAGCTACAGGTTTGAAACAAGATTACTAGTCTGGAGCAAGATTACATGAGTGATTTGTGCTCCTTTCCCCCCATGCATCTAGCATCTTGAGTGTCGTCTCTGCACAACTCCTATTTGGGAGATATATAAGCTGTATCCACATTAGAAGCATGGTCTCCCTTCTTCATGTAGAGAGCAATTCTATTACATCCAAAGTGTGGTTACCAGGGCAATGTAAATTGGGTTTGCATCCTTGCAATGCATTTAGATACTTGGGATTTCATTACAGATGCCTTCAAATTATTGGCCAAATTTACCTGAATCTTTAAAGAAAAATACCACAATGCAAATAGATGTCACCTTTGCCTACTTCAGGTGTTAGTAAAATGTGTCCTCACAAAGTTGTCCCCTTTGATGTGCTCCCTATATTTTACTGGACTCTTCTTGAAAAAAAAGTAAGTAACTAGCCTTTTCTGGAAGCCTCCAAGAATAGAACTTCATCTGTTAGATAGTTTGTAGTATTCCTTGCAATGTCTAACATTTTAAAAATCAATTTTCAAAGACGAGAAATGGACCTCTGAAAGATCTGTGGTATTTTGTTGCCAAAACAATAAGGACCTAAGGCAGAAAATTAATCATAGAAACCAAAAAAACTTGCCCATTCTTGCCTTCTCCAGTTCCATGAACTTCCATATAGCTATGATTTCCTGAGCTGCATGGCCAGTTTTCCAAATTGTATAAAAAAAACTACATACAAAGGAAATAGGAAAGCCCCATGTCATGGACAGAATTCCAGTTTTTATTTTAATGCAGCCTTCCAAAACATGGTGCCACTCCATCTCCTGATAGTGGTATCGGAGTTGTAGCCCAAGGCATTCTTGAAGTTTATCAGGATAATGAAGGTTAATAGATATACGTGTTTTTAAAATGTGAAGTTCCTTATTTAATCAAAGTGTTTCTATTCAATTAGAGATATATGGGATTATTATTGGTGGCCCAATAATTTGTTATTGTATTTGTATATGTTTTTTAAACTGAGATTGTTTTTAAAATGCTGTAAACCGCAATTGAGTCGCCGTTCTAGGCTGAGAAATTAGCGGTATACAAGTGTACCAAATAAAATAAATAAATAAATAGTGTTAACATCTTTAGAAGTAAAATCAGCTTTTGAAAAAGTCCTTGTATCAATGTTAAATATTTTAGTCATAAACTATAGATAATATTTTATACATATTTTTTTCTTTAAAGCTCAAAATAACAAACTTTTGGTGCACATGTTTTCCCCAAAGGTTTAAATTTCTTCATATTGCACTTTGATTATATGCACAAAATATAACAGAAACTGTAATATATTTTTGTATATGCTTCTTAATCTGCTATTGATTTTTTGTAATGGTGTTAGAAAAATGATGCTCAATAAAATTAAAACAAATACTTATGACTGGTGTATTTTTATTCATTCCTGTAAGGGGCTGCCACCTGGTGTTGCAAAAGGAATACTGCAACAGATAGGAATACTGCACACTCAAAGGATAAGGATGCCTGGCTTGGTGCAGTACATATGAAAAGGACTTGGAATTATTGTGAAGCAGTAACAGCCAACAGTGTGATCTTGCCCCAAAGAAACTAGATAATATTTTATCTGTCATTATCATAATTCGTGTTTTGAAGACAAAAAAAAAAGTAATAGTCCCACTAGATTCTGCGTTAGGCCTCATCTGAAGTACTGTATTCAGTTCTGGATGTCTCATTTTAAGACATCGATACGTTTGAATAAGTTCAGAGAAGGGCATCGAGAACAATGGGATGTATAGGGAACAAAACGTATAAGGAATGGTTGAAGGATCTGGGTTTGTTCGGCCTGGTGAAAAGAGGATTGCAGGATTACATGATTGCAGTCTTTAAAAACAAAGTGTTATCACAGAGAGGAAGGTTCAGATGTATTATTTGCTGCCCCAGAAGACCAGGTCTAATAGTTTTGCATTTCATGATGGTAGATTTTGACTGAAGATAATAAGGAGCTTCTTGAGAGTAAAACGATTTCACAATTGGCGCAATTGCCTAGAAAGGTGATTGAATCTCTTTCGCTGTACGTCTTCAAAGGAGGCTAGACAGCTACCTACTGGCAATGCTTAGCTGAATTTCCTCAATGCTCTTTGGAGCCCATTTCAATTTTGTGATTTCTCTTACCAACTGTGTCTGCCAATATGGTTGGTCATCCTCTCATCTCCTTTGTGAAGGCAATGAAAAATTGTGTCCATTTTAACAGAAGGCGAGAAACAACAGGGTATTTGTTTCAGATTCAAATCTATTCAACAACCCATTATAATCCATGTATAGTAGAAATTGTTGCAAACTAACATTTCATAAAATTTATCCTAAGTGTTGAGTATTGATTATTTTCCTGTAAAGAGTGAGTCATGACTATCAGGCTTATTATGGGTCTATAAACAGATCTATTATAGGGCAGGGTACAAAAGATCACTGATGATATTACACCATGAAATGTAAGCTGTCGTTTCTCCAAATTTGAACAAAGTTGAAAGTGTAGCTTAGAGGAAGTAGAGTACTAACTGATGTTGCCCTGAGGTATAATAAGGTATAATAATCTTGATTTCTAGGGAGGTGTCAGATTAACTTTGCTTTCGGAGCCACTTGTCTGTCTTTTTAGCAGTCCGTGTTAACTTTTGCAACCAGAAAAATAGTATTTGTTAACACCTATATCCCAAGCAGCTTGGGGGAAAATGAAACAGCCACTCACTAGGATAAATTAACATCCTACATACTAGATTTAAAGTCCGAGAATCCCTCTTGTGATTTTATTATAGCGGGCAACTTCAATGCTAGGATAGGGTCTAGTCTGGTGAACCTGATGAGAGAAGAGGGCCTGGATGAAGATCCCTTCTACTTTTTACTGATTCCAGAAGCCTGACACTCTAAAGGCCAAGTATGTAACCAAGCCAGGAAATGCTTGATCAAAATGGCCACGCAGCTCAACCTGTTTTGGTTAAACGGGCTTATTTCCCAACTCTGATTAATATACCTTTGTCTCTTTGAGAGGCTCTAGTGACTATTTTTTGATCTCACCCTCCATAGCAAGCAGCATTGATGCATTTGTTGTAGATAACTATTTACTTAGCGATCATCTGCCCTTTCTCCTCACCCTGGACTTGGAGCAAAGTAATACTTTCTCACTCTAACAAACATACCCACAAGACACTAGACTGAAGTGGAATGAAAGGACGAAGAAGATGTGCCTAGATATATTAAGCTCTTATGAAGTGATGTACATGGAAGCTATGATAACCAAAAGCTTAGATTGTGAGGAGGCAATCATTGGGTTTGAATCACTTGTTAAATCTATCTTTCTGAAATTACACAATTGGCAAAGAACACTGAGGCAACTTAGTGCCAGACCAAAAAACTGGTTCTACAAAGGGTGCATAATGATAAATAAACAGATTCGCTCACTTTAGCAGTCCATGGTAACCTCAGAATTCTTTCCCAGGATCACATCTCAAATTGATTGATTTACTTTCTATTCACTGTCCAGTTTTCACATACATAGGAATGGGAAATATAATGGCATGAATAATCTTAAATGATATATCTTATTCCTCTAGGTCAGGGGTCCTCAAACTAAGGCCCAGGGGCCGGATACGGCCCTCCAAGGTCATTTACTCGGCCCTTGCTCAGGGTTAACCTAAGTCTGAAATGACTTGAAAGCACATAACAACAATCCTATCTCATCAGCTAAAAGCAGACCCACACTTCCCATTGAAATACTAATAAGTTTATATTTGTTATATTTGTTCTTCATTTTAATTATTGTATTGTTTTAAAGTGTTTTTTTGCACTACAAATAAGATATGTGCAGCATCCATAGAAATTCATTCATGTTATTTACAAATTATAATCCGGCCCTCTGACAGTTTGAAGAACTGTGACCTGACCCTCTGTTTAAAAGGTTTGGGGACCCCTTATCTAGGTTCTTGTCTAACTGCTTCTCTAAGCACCCATCTACTCTGACAATCTAATGCAGTTTGAATCTAACTTCAAACTGGCAGCCAGACAACATCCTCCCACAAAAGCTCATGAAAGAAAACCCTTAATGTGCATCAGTTTGTGTAATCAACAACTGGGCCTTAAACTGGTTCTGGGATTTGCTGTGTAATCTGCACAGCAAAACTACTTTTTTCCAAAACTGTATAATATGGTCTTTGTAGACATGCCCCCAGTCCTAGTCATCTGATTAATTTTAGACCATTCCTATTCAAGGCAATAGTTTGTGGGATGGTAGTACTACTCAAGCCATTGGCTACTGGTATGCAGCAAGCTTCCAGAAAGGAAATAAACAGTTGTATTGAATAGCTGTGGCAACTAATTGTTTATGCCAGTCTTTTTGTTGGAATAGACATTGGTAGCTATAGCCAAAATCTAAATTCTATAAAATGGTTCAGCTTTTGGCATTATTATTTTAAAAAAAACTATTAAAATGTATACTATTGGAATGATATTTTCATGTATAACTTTGTACTATGAATTTTATGGTGTTTGGAAACTCCCATATGAGTGGGAGGTATATATCTTCTTTATAATGGTACCTGCCAGCATGGGAAACTGATTTCCTATTATAGTATGTTGTATCAGCTTTTGAACAGATATGTCATGCTACAAAGAACCTTTAGCCCCAATATTCTTATGAACTTTTTCCTTCCTGTTAGGTGTGGAGTTGTTACATCGATTATAAATACTTTCTTGCTACTGCAGCATTCAAAGTTCACTTTGAGCATAAGAATAAGTCCATATCTCTGGATCAAAATTATTTTCACTGCTCTGGATTGTTGCCTTTTCCATTCAAAGGACATTTTTACAAGAGTTGGTAAGTTCAGATTTTCTTGGTTACCGTTTTGTAAAATGCCTTTGCCTGCTTCTCTTGGCTGCTACTAATCATGGAAGACTAGGCTGGTCTCTCTACCAGTAAGGGCCTAGGACATCAAAGAGGAGAGCTTAACTGCTTGCGTACTTGCTATCTAAATCTTTTACTGCAGAGTTTTTGTGTTGTGGTTTTAATCAAGATTTTATTTTTCACTTGGACTATGAAAAAGACAGTGTATCATTAACTACATTGGATACTTTTTATCAGAAAGGCAAGGTATAAATTATTATAATAAATACATAATAGGGACAAATAGCTGTGTAGTGGTGATTGTATAATATGTGAGAGGAAGTCATAGGGAAGAGGGAGCAAGTTTGTTTTCTGCTGCCCTAGAGACTAGGATGTGGAACAATTGCTTCAAACTACAGAAAAGGAGATTCTACCTTAACATGAGGAAGAACTTCCTAACTGTGAGAGCTGTTCAGCAGTGGAACTCTCTGCCCCAGAGTGTTGTGGGGGCTCCTTCTTTGGAGGCTTTTAAACAGAGACTGGATGGCCATCTGTTGGGGGTGCTTTGAATGTGATTTTCCTGCTTCTGGGCAGGGGGTTGGACTGGA